TTTTTTGCTTAAAACCAGGATTGGGGTTAATTTGTATTGAGGAGGCAACAGTGAATCTCAACAAGGCTGGGGAATTGGGTAGGCAGGAATCCAGAAGGCAGAATAACTCTGGAGAATCTGGACTGGAGTTTGTGGCTTATGGACAGTCCAAGACAATGGAGGAGAGGGTTCCTGATGTGTTTAGATTTGGAGTGTTTCCCACATCCTAGGGAGGTGTCGTGAGCCACTCCCCAGAGCCCCATCCCATGGCCTCTGCTCAGGACCATGAATGAAGACTCTGCTCTGGAGCATCGGGACTCTGCAAAGGAGCAACAGGAGCTTGTGGGCAGGGAGATGTCCCGGGACGGGGGGCATTTGGAGCTGAGTCCGGGGAAGCTTCTCACCAGCGCCTTCTCATGGGACCCCTTTAAGGAAAGAAAGAGGCAGCAGAGACTGGGGATCCCTTGTGGCCGGGGAGCAGGGAAGGAGCTGTGGGTAACATGTCTATATTTAATCATCTGCTCATCATTTAAGAAACATTTCCTGGGAGCCTGGTGTATTCGCAGTGCTGATCTCCTTCTGGGATGCCTGTTGCAAGTGGACAGGCAGCTCTGAGATAGGACTCTGCCAGCTCAGCCCTCCTTCCGAGTCCTGATGCCCCTTCCCTCATTGCTTCCACTCAGGCACACAGAGGATCAGAATGGGTACAGCCCTAGGAGCTGCCCATCTGCGGTTTCTCAACATGACTCTATAGCGGGGATTCCTTTGGGTCCATGGAGCTCAGCATCAAATAATCTAGAGATGGCCTGCAAGGGACCACCCACTCAGTTGCCCATGGTTCAGGCCCCCCGTCCTGCCTCCTCATGGAACCCCTGGGGTGCTGTAAAAACCTGTGAACGCCCTTGCTATAGCTCACCTCCTTAAGCACTCACACACTTCCTGGAGGTTGGGTCCTTCTGAGAGGGTTCTCTGAGACTCTGGAGGATGCCGAGGGAGCTCTGTCACCTTCTCTAAACTCCACTGACCCTGATGCTGCATATGTTGGCTGGGTTCTTCTTTTGGCCTTGCCCTTCCGGGACAGCCCTTGCTCAGGCCTGCATCCCCCACCCTTACAGTCAGGCCTTCTGCTTCCAGTGGACATAGATGACAGAGACACAAACCACCAGCAGCACCTTGGGGCCCAGGAGGAGCGCTATGAAGGATGGAGCTGTAGGAGCCAGTGCCAGGCCTGGAAATCAGGAGACAGGAAAAGTTATGAGGGGGCTACCCAGGAGGCCATTCCATAGAATCCCACTTACCCCATCTGAGGCTACCTGGGACTGTCAATGCTCTAAAGCTTTTGAAATTGCATCCTGCCTGGGCTGCCCCTCTGCCAAGGCAGAAGCCAGGGAAAGAGGTTCCTCATTCCCTTACCCTGTCCCAGGCTGCCAGGCTGTCCTCCTGGAGGGAAGAGGTGGAGAGAATATGTACTCAGGTATTTATACGTGTGGCACCTGCGTTCCTCACTTAATCCTCACAGGAAAGTGGGGCAGGGATTATTATTACATTCTGAAGGGGAAATTGAAGCTCAGAGAATTTAGGGAGGGTCACAAGGTTACTCATATCCAAACCTAGGGAAGCCCATCATTATGTCCGTTAGGATGATTCCTGAGACTGTATCCTTTTGAACAAGACAAGTCCATCCTCCCAGGGTTATAGGAACAATTATGAAAGTGCAAGCAGGTGGCAAGACGATAACTGAGTACCCCCAGCTTGCTGAGAGGTAGTTGATTTTCTCTTTTTTCTCTTTCCCCTTCTCCCCTGCTCCTGGTTTCCTACTTAGCCCTTCAGAAATGCAAATACAACTTTCACCTTTCCCTCACCAGACATTCCCTGCAGGGCAACTTTTTCTGTGTGCTCCAAGACAGATCTTTCCTGAAGGGGTGACACACTGGAAATGTCACCTCCTCGGGTATCCTCCAGACTTTGATCCACCAGGAGGGCATATGGAAAGGATGCCCGCTTGGCTACTTTTACAACTTACTTCTGCACAGGATGGTGCCAACTCAACTGTCTGGTAGCTAAGTCACCAGGCTAGCAGAGGGCCGCCTTCCCTTGCTCCCGTCCCCATCACCTCATAAAAGTATCTGCTCTCTGCTTCAAAGGGGAAGCGGCACATTTAAAGGCAGGACACTTTGTGCCCCTTCCCCAAGCAGGCTTCGGAATAAATTCACGTTCTTTGTATCAGACCTGGTTCCCATTGATTGGATTCTACATGCAGCAAGCAGCTAACATGCTTTTCAGTTACTTGAGGATAGCTTCAGAGAGAGCTGCAGGCCGCCCTGCTTAATTCCAAGGTTGGGGGATAACCCCATGTTCTCAAGACCTGAGGAAGCCCTAGAGGGGCTGGACCTAATGAACTGTGCTGGCTAGAAAACACCCTGGCATGACTCTCGTGCTTGGGAGGGCCTCAGACATCAAGCTTACCTCAACCCCAGAGCAGGTGCCATCTGAAATCTCTCTGTTGGACAGACAGTCCGATCTGAGGAAGCACACATTTGGATTCTTTGCATTTTTACTATGAGAAATTTTTTCTTTTTTTTTTTTTTTTTTTTTTTTTTTTTTTTTTAGCAAACAAATTTTTTTTTTTTTTTTTTTTTTTTCATATATGTTTTCTGGGAAATAAAATGGTGCTGGTGGGTCCTTAAGGAAGGTATGGAGATCTCAGCATCTGTGGCTGGAATGGTGGAGGCCAACAGTTCCCAGCTGGGTGGCTCTCTGGGACTTGGTCTCCCTTCAGGAGAGTTACATTCTCCAAGTTCACCCCTCCTTCTAGGGGGCAGACCATAAGAAAGACTGGCTGAATTGAAGACAGAATGGCCATGCCTCTCTTCTCAATTAAAAAAAACTCTGAGGGAGCCTCTTGGCCCTTGGCTCCTGTGTAGAAGCAGCTGGGTCTTTGTCCTGTCTGCGCTGCGGCTCAGCACCTCCATGGTCCTGCATTTGTGCCTCCCTCCCTCAGGCATGTTGACCCTGACAACACTCTAGGGTGCTTCCTGCATTCCTGTATCCACCTCCAGTTGTCCTCCTAGCAAAACTGACAATGGAAATGGTCTGAAAAGCAGACTCTAAAACGCAAGTTTGGAACCTGACCACTCACTTATCAGCTGACAATGAAGACCCCAGGGCTGGTAGTGAGTGGAGCTGGGGTGGCCCTGAGTTGCAGCTACGGTGCAACTAGTAAAACTTTCACTAGCAGTGAAGTGGGAAGGAAATTCTTTGGCATCAGGCATTTGAAGCTGAATTGGGAAATGGTACTTATGAGGACTCAGGTGTTTGATGGTTGTTGCTGGGCATCAGTTCTTCGGGGAAAGACAATGAGAAGCTAAGAGTAACTGATCACAAGTTAAGGCTCAGTGTGAAAACCAGAGGACTTCTTGGCAGCAGTATAGATTGTTACCTCAAGGAGCCAGAGGGCAGAAAGAATAGAAGACTGGGCTAGGCATCAGTATAAGAGAAGCAGAAGCGCAGAGGTGGATGAATCTCAGCTTCAAAGGACTGCTGTGCTAGGAGAGGTCCCTGATGGGGAAGCTGTGGGACCCTGAGATGTGGAAGGGAACGTTTGGGTCAAAGCAGTTACAAATCATCAGCCGTCTTCTGGGTTTCTGGGGACAGCTGCAGCAGCATAACTGATTATCTCTATAACTAACCTCCCAAACCAAAAGACAAAGTAAAAAAGAAAAAGTAAATTTTGCATAAACCTGGCTCTGAGTATTACTTGAACAAAGAATGCCAAACTGCAAAATGACTGTGGGTCAAATGACAATAATCACCACACCCTGGTGCGTAGTCTCACTAGGCTGCCACACTGCTGGTGCAGCACATCACATAAGGCATCTTGCACATTGCCTACCAGCCTAGACAACCTAAATTGCATTTCCAGCCATAGCAGATGAGCAAGAATGTTACGTCCAGCACACTGGAAGCACCCAAAAATGGCAGCCCTGGTTGGAGCTCCAGTGGGTGGATGGAAGTCTAAAAAGTAAATGCAACTTCAGACAGATGGTGCAGATTCATCTCTTCCTGCTCCTCCTTGAGAAATACAACTAGGAACTCTAGAAATATCATGAGAAGCAGGCATAGGAGGACTTCCAAGGTGAAAAAGGAAGGCAGACTGACTAGGGACCTGAGGACTCAGGAACAGCCCTGAGGCCAAGCACCTGGGACACCCACCCCCTAATATGAGCCCCCAGCCATAGAATGTGCCAAAAAAAATGACACAGAAAAGAGAAAAAGTCTCAATTCAATAATAAAAATGCTCACTTCAAGAAACTACAAGAAGGAGAGCAAAATAAACCTGAAGCAAGCTGGAGATCAGAATTAGTAAAAAAGAGAAGACAGCGGAAAATAAATGAAAACATAAAAACAATACAACAGAACAGTTGATCCTTTGAAAGGAAAGAAAATGGGAAAAAATTATAGCAAGGCTGATAAAGAAGAAAAAAGAAATGGCACATTTTAAAATATCAGGATGAAACAAAGGCAATCACTATAGACCCTGCAGACACCAAAGGATCATAAGAGATATTATGAACAACTCCACACCTGACAACATAGATAAAATGGACCAAAAACTCTTTGAAAAGCACAAGTTACCAGAACTCACCCAACATGAAAAGAATAAAGTGAATATCCCTAAACTATTTTAGGACAGTGAATTCACAATTTTAAAACATCCAAAAATTTTCTCGAGCTAC